TGTTATTCTTGACCTTTTTTTTGTTCATAATGCTAAATAATTTCAATGCTAAAAAAAAAAAAAAACATATATATATATATATAATATATATATATAGAAATTTGGCATGCGATATCAATGTCAATGACACCTTGGCCCTGTATAACACACGGCTAATAAAGACTTATGTAGATATTGATTCAAGAGTTCGTCCATTGGCAATGATGATAAAACATTGGGCACGACAAAGAGTTTTGAATGATGCTGGTACGCTTATGATTAATGAATTATCTGGAATTGTTACTTATTTTATTAGTCAATTCATTACTGTTACCGTAATATTTCAATTTATGAGGTGTAAAATCGAATCATTCCTAATTGTAAGCTCACAATATTAATCTAATAGCCAAAGGTGGTACTCTGTCTACATATACTTGGACGTGCATGATTTTGAATTTCCTACAAATGCGTGATCCACCAATATTACCTGTGCTTCATAAAATCCCTCACGAGCCTAATATAGTTCATGGGGTTGATGTGTCATTTTACGAAGATATCGAAAAACTGGAAGGATTTGGCAATAGTAATAAGAATAATGAATCGGTTGGTGGTCTATTATTTGCGTTTTTCCGATGGTAAGTTTTATGTCTTTAATTTATTATGTCTTTATTTAATCATCTCTAATAATTCAATTAATTCAATTATTTAAATTAATTCAATTAATTCAATTAATTCAATTATTTAAATTAATTCAATTAATTCAATTAAATCTCATTCATACATTGTTTAGTTTTGCTTATGAATTTGATTACGAACATAACGTAATATCTCTTCGGGAAGGTAGGTACCTTACTAAAGAAGAAAAAGGTTGGGGCGAGACTGGTAAAGGCTGGAGACTTTTATGCGTAGAAGAACCTTTCAACACTTCAAGGAATCTTGGTAACAGTGCCGATGACGTCAGTGTTAATGGACTAAAAGAAGAATTCCGCAGAGCTGTCAAAATCCTTTATGAAAAAGAAGGCAAAGAAAGTCTGCTGTCATGTTGCGAACGATATATATTTCCAAATCATTACAATAATAATAGGATGGTCGGATATTACAACAGACAAGGTGGAAAAAGATCTGCATATTACAAATACCATCAAAATGGCCGTGTAAATGGATACTACAAACAACGAGATGGTAGAATAGTGAGTGATAATAATGATTTTCGAGAAAAGGATGAGTCTTCTAAGAATGATGATGAAAGCTCATATCAGAGACCAATCAACTCAAAATATTATCCGAATTCGAAGAATGGTAATATATTCGTACCGCCTCATAACTATGACCATTACAATCAAAATTTTATCACTGATTCGAAACAAGATTCTGTGTCCGATGTTAATTGGCGCTCCAATTATAAAATTTATCCATCTGAAGCGATTCAGATATCGAATTCTTCTGAGAACAGAAGACAATCTTCAGAATTGAGTGAATCATCTATTAATACACAAAAATCTGGTGACGATTCAAATAGGATACCGACCTACGCATCAGCACATAAGCCTACAATGCCATTGAACAATAAGCTTATCTGTGCATCAAGTCAAAAGCATATCGGCCAACCTAATCAGAAATCTTTTAATATACAGAGTAAATCTATGGTCGGGACAAACCGGAATTCTGACCATGAATCAGGAAAAAAGTTTTCACATGTTCCAGATCACAAACCCGTTAGAGAGATGAAATCAAATTTCAATCACTTGTCTAACGTAAACTCAGTTCATGATCCTGACAAACAATCCAGCCCAAATCTCGGTTGTCAAACGACTCAAGCTTCGAATATCAGACCTGGTCAAACATACAACAAATCTGCAAATTTACATACGAAGCCATCTTGCCATTCATCGAGGCCTAACGAGGAGTCTAATTATAAATCTTATGCATACGGTGGGTGTGGTGAGAATAATACACTCTTTAAGAATTATCAAAATTTAACACCGCCCAAAATCAACGGAGGTCATGTCCAGCTAACAATGCAAATGTTTGACAAAAAACCGATACATCCAGTCGCAGCCACTTATATACCTCCGAATAACATACCGATTTACTCGTCACAACATGCTCAGAATCATAACTCGCAATCACACGAAAATTTTCCATTTCCAAGACGCCTGTCACATCAATCATCATCCGACGGTTCGAATAGTCATACTAGTGTTAATAGTAGCAACACAAGTTATAGTAGTAATGGCTATCAACAGAATGTCAATTCAAACAAACCTAGGGACAATTATTATTCCAACAATCATCAGCATAATGGTTCAAACTTTGGCAAAAAGAAGCGACATTATAATAATAATTCTGGTAACGTCGATAATTGCAATGGGCAAAATTTTCAAGGTCGTAATTTATCAAACGAGCCAAATTCTGTTCCTACATCTGTGAACTCAGTTAGAAGTCAATCCGTCACCAGCACGCATAATGAAAGTATGGTATCAAATTATTCAACATCGCCAAAGTTAAATCATCATCATACAATGCCCAAAGGATCCAATGATAGTATGAGCTATAATTCTAATGGATTTAAAACTTATAATGGAGTTAACAACAACAGTTCGACTTATATTTCAGTTACGCCCCGTAACAATGTTCATGTCATGAAGGCAACGAATGGTGGTCACTCCAATAATAATAATTATAATAATAATAATCATAATAATAATAACAATAATAATAATAATAATAATAGTTATCATTCGAAGGGGAATCACGGAGGTAATCACAGTGGCTATTTTAATGGCTATAGGGAAATAAAGTATGATGTGAACAACGAAAGTCTCTCTAACGGGCAAAAAACGGTGAACCACAGCCATCACTCAAATTATTTAAAGACTTCAACCAATGGACATTCAAATAATGGCAATTATTCTAACGGAACGAAGTCGACAAATGGTTACCAGAATAATCATTATGCTAATGGTTCAAAGGCAATGAATGGTGGCAATCAGACTGATGGAAATTACACGCATGGATCAAAAGTT